TCCCTACAGCTGAAGGACCTAGATCTACTTAAAGCCCCTAACCATGATTAATTAAGCAATAACTTTGATAAAGCATTTTAAGTTGGTCATGAGGATACACAGGTTAATATGAAATGAATACATTAAAGTTTACAAATCACCTTTGAGCTTCTCAAAGAAAAGGTGAAGTATAAAAGTAATAAAAGCACTATTACTACACACAAAGGTCAGACTACAAGAGAAAAAAATAATCTGGAAACATCTCACATTAGAGTTAGCAGCAAAAGTCCCATACCTTATCTTTTAATTAACATTAACATGGCATTTGAAGATCTTGCCTTTCAATCAGCTAGTTTGGAAAAAAAAAATTAGAATGTGGCTTTTAGAACTGCTTTATTTCACTTAATTTTATCTTTATTAATTTAAAATGAGGAGTTTCAATTTCTCTACAAATTCTTAAAACACAGAGGGCTGGATTATTCTCTGGGGAAATCTTTTAAAAATGGCATGTTGCTGTTGACAAGGACTTAATATCAAGATGGCAAAAATAAGGTGACTTCATTAGTATCTTAGCACCTTCATACCAAAGCTTAAAATACTTCTGGTGCAGTGCATGCCAGCTTTTCTGTGATGACAATCATACTACAGCTCTGCAAGACTTACCTCTTATTATTGCTTTCAGGTGGCAGGGTTTTAGCTTTCTGGCAGCTGTCACATCATTGAGAGCAGAACGAAAATTGCCTAACAAAACACCATTTAGTAAAAGAGAAAACACGTTTTGAGATCAGATTACTTCCAAAATTTTGTGTGTAGAAACAAAAACACTCTTGGACAATCTTGGAGAGATAAAAATCAGAGCAACTGTTTATACTGGGTTGGCCAAAAGGTTCGTTCCGGTTTTTCATAACATCTTACAGAAAAACCTGAATGAACTTTTGGGCCAACCCAATAGAAAAAAATATAGTTGTGCTCATCAAGCACCTTAGAAATGTTTACAGCATCAGACAACCCACCGAACAACTATAAATGGCTAGTAAGCATATGGAGAGATACTCAACATCACTAATGATTAATTAAAATTAACATGAAATTGGTAAAAACTAAAAACAGATAATATCCAATATTGGTAAAGATATGGAAAAAGGACACTCTAAGAGTAAATTAGAGAGCAAACTGGCATGCACTTTGTACATACACTTTGACCCAACAATACTCTTCTAAGAACTGATCCTTAAAAATGCTTGCAAAACAATAAAGATGTTAAAAAAAAAAATGCTTGCAAAAAAACAAAACAAAAAAAATGCTTGCAAAAACGTAAAAGGAGGGCTTCCCTGGTGGCGCAGTGGTTGAGAGTCCACCTGCCGATGCAGGGGACACAGGTTCGTGCCCCAGTCCAGGAAGATCCCACATGCCGCAGAGCAGCTGGGCCCGTGAGCCGTGGCCGCTGAGCCTGCGCGTCCGGAGCCTGTGCTCCGTAACGGGAGAGGCCACAACAGTGAGAGGCCTGCATACCGCAAAAAAAGCTAGGAAAAAAAAAAAAAAAAAAAGTAAAAGGATAAATGTAAAAGCATGTTAACCGCTGCATTACTTTTAATTATGAAAAGCTGGAGATAACCTAAATACCCTCAACTTAGTAATGATGAAATAAATTATGGTAAATCCATACTACTAAATACTATACAGCTATTAAAAAGAATAAGACAGTTCTGCATGTAAAAGCATGATAGGATGTCTGTGCTATATTATTTTAAGTGGTGGGTCAATGTGTATAGAAACCCATCTTTATAAAACAAACCAATCTAAATATACAGACACAGGTACACACACATATATATTTGTAAGTGCATTTAAAAAAGGTGAGCAATCATACACACTGGTTATCCAAACTAGGAGGCATGAGATAGACTTTCATTTTCTAGTTTATACTGTAAGTATTACTTAACAGCTTGGTATTTACCTATTAATTTCACTTCTACAACTCTAGCCTGGGGGTCAGCAAAATTTTTCTCTAAAGGGCCATATAGTAAATATTTCAGACTTTACAGGCTACATATGGTCTGTTATACATTCTTCTTTGTTTTACAATCCTTTAAAAATGTAAAAAACACTTTTAGCTCACAAGAGGTCAGGGATCCAGATGTGGCCTGTGAGTCATAGTTTGCCAAATCCTAAAGAATAACCAGAATTATTGGGAAAACTTTATCACTAACTTTGTTCATTTTTGCATTACTTAAAAAAACCTAGGGCTTCCTGGTGGTGCAGTGGTTGAGAATCTGCCTGCCAATGCAGGGGACACGGGTTCGTGCCCTGGTCCGGGAAGATCCCACATGCCGCGGAGAGCCTGGGGCCGTGAGCCATGGCCACTGAGCCTGAGCATCTGGAGCCTGTGCTCCGCGCAACGGGAGAGGCCACAACAGTGAGAGGCCTGCGTACCGCAAAAGAACAAAACAAAACAAAACAAACCTAAAAGCAGCTATATACTCAACAACAGCAGAATAGTAAAGCAAATAGTGTAAACCCTGGTATGTCCATATGATGCAACTTTATGTAGCTATTAAAATAGTATTCACAAATAATTTAATGACAGGTGAAACTGTTTATGTCATAAAATTAAGTGAAAAGAACTGAATACAAAATTGGAAGAACAGCATGATCCTAACTATGGAAAAAATACATATAAGAGAGATCCAAAAACTTCTGGTAAAAGGCAGTAGACTGAACACATGCAGTTCAACCCCTACCACTTCCCCTAAGCCACAAAAAAGCCATAAATCCACAGAGACAACAAGAATGAGAAAAACAGAGAACACATTTTAAAGCTGGAGAACAACGAGACACAGGCTAAATGCCTAATTAGGCTTGAGAAAACTGACTTCTAAGCCAGCAGAGGGAACACTCAAAGCTACCAAGCTATACTGTAGAACCCACAAAGTACTCAGGACTAAAGAATCAACAGCACCAGGTACCTCTGGAAGCGTGGGTAAAGGGGTCTTCCATTTAGTGTATTCTGAATCAAACTTGATTCCACCCTAACGCTAGCACTGTGTACCCTTCAACAATTCATTTTACTACATTTATTACTACAGTTTCTTACTCTGCTAACTAGGGATAAAGCTGTTAACCTCATTTATCTTACATAGCTGCTATGAGGTCAAGAGGGATAAAAAAAAATGTGAAAGTGCTCTGTAAGCCATACCAGTGACATCATTTAAGGAATGTCTCTGAATATTACACATTTGCTCCTCTGGTTATCACATTACATGCGGTTTTTCTCTTTCAAGGTGTTTTTGGTCTTATTAGCCCTATACATGACATTCTTTAGTTCCCCAAGGAAAGGAACTATGTAGCTCTTATTCACAGTGCAGTGCCTACACACAGTAAACGCTTTCTATTTACTGACTGAATAGGTAAATGAATTAAACTCCTTTAGGGAAAGGTCAGGTCTTAACTCACTTCTATGATGCCAGTGCCTAGCACGGAACAAGAACTCAGTTTGCTCAATGAAGAAAATGTATTCCTCCAGAAGTTAGAAGAGTGGGTTTCTAGTCAAGGTTCTGGCACTAACCAAAGGGGTCGCTCTCTGGGCCTATGTAAAATGAGGGGGCTGGTTGGCTCAAATAATCTCTAAAGTTCTAAAGGAGAAGACAGCTGAAGCGGCCTATGATTAGAAAGAAACTCTGCTCCAATGGTGACGAGTCCCAACAGACTTATCCCAGCTAGACTTGCAAGGCTTATTGTCTACCAGTCCCTCAGAAAAGGCTGAGGTCATTCCCAGGTCCTCTCTAAAACTGTGATAAGAAACATGGGTCTAATACGACCAAGACTATAGTCACCAACAATAATGCCACCCAAACAATTAATCAGTGTTTCCCAAAGTCATGTCTGCAGAACAGTCCTGCATGTTAATAAGTGTTACTTGAAAAGGGGGCTTATAAAACCTGAGAATCACAGGGTAAGGTTCTTTGCTGTAGGTTTTCTCAGCATTAACATACTAATGTGCCCTGCGCATCTCCCATGAAGAAGCAGCACTGTCCAAATTTACTTGTTCAAAGAATGTTTCACTTCAAAGGTCCCACAGAATACTCTTTGAGAAATTCTCCCTTGCATTAATACAGTTTCTCTCACACAAAGAACTCTATTGCCTTAACCCTTCTAGCATCCTTGAGAAGAGGCCAGAAAAAAACTTTTTTCTTTGAGAGAGAGACTAGAAGCATTTGGACTCAAAAATTCCAGATCATAGCAACTCATGTATTAAGGTATTTGATGTTACTCATTTGGTTCAGACAGTAAGAATTATACAACCTACTTCACCAAGTCTATCTAGAAAAGCAGAGTTCAGTTAGAGTAAGCTATCCTAGGCTTCTGGGATAAGCAGCTCCTCTTCCGCCGACACTCTCAAACCCTCCACTACCCATGATACAGTTGTTTTTATCATAAGTTAATCTTTTAGAAAGTACTAAATAATGGAATAAATTACCCAGATAGTACTGTGCTGCTGCCCGGTTGGAATAAAGAACAGCATTCAAATCAGGGTCTGCACATTTCTTCTTTAATCCTTCAGTGTACGAAATCACAGCTTTCTTATAGTCTTTTTCTTTAAAGTAATCATTGCCCTCGTCTTTAAAGGTCCTGGCCTGTTCTGCAAAAAAGAGAAAAAATGATCACTATTTCCTATTTTTTAAAGGGCTCATTAAAAATAATTCTAAATCATGCAATAATGTAATATATGACAAACAAAAACAAGAAACCAATAGGGAA